CTGACCCGGGCGGCGGGCCCCGCGCTCCTGCCCAGCCTGGACTGCTTTGGGAGACCCCGTCTAAAATAAGACTAAAGGGCGCCTCCTCGGGACATCGCGTCATCCTGCAAAAACCCGCGGGACGGGGACGGGGTTTTGCTCTGTAGTTCAGGCTGAACTCACTACGTACATGGAACTCGTGGAGATCCTCCTGCCTCAGCCTCCCAAGTGCTGGGATGGGCTCAAGCCACCAAGACCACCTTTCTCACCCGCGGCTGCTCTAGGAAAGCCTCTGACACCACCCACTGGCTCGGCACACGAGACCCCCCAGGACCTCCTACCTGGGTGACCGCCCACTTGAGCACCACCGGCCCAGTGATGCAGGGGGCCGCCTTGTTCAGGAAGTGCAGCAGCCGAGACTGCGTGCGGGACACAGGCGACTTGCTGTTCAGGCAGTAGGTCATGGTGTCATGGCTGCCTGTGAGAGACGGGCGTCACACCGCACGTCACACCACACGTCGCGCAGGGGGACTGTGGGGAATGCAGAGCGGACGGGACGCACGGACACCTGCTTCGGGGCGGGCCTCGGGTGGGGGCACAGTCCCTGCCGGGGGGATCGGAGCAGCGTGTGGAGACAGGCCGCCCTGCCTCAGCCTCTCGTCTCCAGCGGCAGCGTCCTCAGGAGAGACAGAGCAGCAGCCACATGAAGACGCAGGCAGGGACTGGAGCAGTGGGGCTGCGGCCCAGGGTCTCCTGGAGCCCCGAGGGGAGGCAGAGGCAGGAGGGTCTCCCTCGGAGGAGAGGCAGAGGCAGGAGGGTCTCCCTCGGAGGAGGCAGAGGCAGGAGGTCTCTCTGGAGCCTGTGATGGGAGCGTGGCCCAGATGCCCGGGTCTCGGGGACGTGAGAGGATCCTTGAGTACTCGTGTCGTATGTGTGACACGTGGCGTGTGTGTTACCCTGCCTCTGCTGCTCTGCCCTTCGTCAGTACGTAAGCAGCAGCTTTTATTTTTGACTCATTACCTGCCGCGCTCCGGCAGGGTCTCGCTCTGCAGCCCAAGCTGGCCTCAAACCCCGGAGATCCTCCTGCCTCAGCGCTCAGGGCAACGCGCAGCCCATTCGCACCCACTTCCTCCCGGCGGTGTGGCTGGGCTGCGGGGACACCTGCGTGCACACGCGTGTGTCAC